ATATATATATATATATNTAGTTATATATATATATATAATATTATTATATATATATATATATATATATGTATTATATATATATATATATATCTGGGCATAGAGCTCACGTGACAAGATGTGCTAACATACCCCTGAAAGCCAACGCCTTTGATGCGCTCAGCGGCTAACGAATCATCTTCATCATGTCCCTTTTTCAGCAGCGAGGAAAGCTCCTGATCATGATTTAAAAAAAGAAGTGTGAGATACAGATAACACAAAGTGCTTAAAACAATATATACCTCAAATGCTGTGAGCACACATCTTGCCTCATGCCAACATGATGTGATGTACAGATCAGCAAGACAATACACGTACGCAATCTTCCGGAAAGAAAAAGGGAACTACTCAAGCATATCCCATACAATACCTTAGTCGATAGGGAAACTCGGTTTGGTACTTGCTCTCCCCGTCTACAAGAATGGCGGAATAGCAGAAAAAGAAGGGGGAAAGGGATGAAAAGCGTGCATCACAACACAAAAGAAGAAGGTCATATTGCACAGTACTCATATTGCACAGTACCGACGGTTGAAAAGTATGCAGATCTCCCAGTAACCATCAGTAAACACAATACGAGAGACAGCAGTCACCTACCGTTAAAAAAACCGCCCATCCGAAAGCTAAAACATCAACTTTATCAAATTGTATGCAATATCACAAGTCACAGCTATTCATATTGCCCGATCAGATATACGGGAAACGAACCGCACTCCAAGGCATAGGCAACTCACAACCAACCACCAAGAACTTATACATGCTCATGCTTACGCATACGTACAACATCAAGGACATAGCCTCCTGCTCCTGTTGCTTGATCAGCGTCATCTCCTGCCTGCGCTTGAGCTCCTCCTTGCCCACGGCGGCATCGTCGCTCCCTTTATCTCTGCTAAACCACTGCAGATCGCGTTTGTTCTGCCAACGGCCAACCGGTGCGTTGAGAGAGTGTCCAAGGTAGTTCTCACGGTGCTGCATGTAGATTTGAGTTTTAGAGTTGATGGTTTAGGAAGTTCAGGATTTAGTGTTTAGGAGTTGCAACCAGTTTCACCATGCTTCAGGTGTTTATGTGGGATTGACCATGGGGAGTGCATGTACCATTGTGGGCAAGTTTGTGTACCACTTGACTATATGACTATAGAGGTTATTGACAAATAAAAATAAAACTAATTTACGAAATGGCGGTGGATGTGCACTCTACAAGAGGAAGACCGAGATTACATAGCTACGGTGGCATCACAACCACAAATAAGGAATACACATCACAAGTCCGAAGGTCTGGGACGTAACAAATAACTTACGCAGCCATACACTTAGATTACCAATCACGAGCGTTTCCGGATTGCGTATTTGTACGTATACACATACGCGATATATATATTTATATATATATATGTATAAATATATATATATAAATATATATATATACATATATATATATATATTATATATATATATATATACATATACATATACATATATATATATATTATATATTTAAATATATATATATATATATATAAATATTAATATATGCAATATATACAAGTAGCATATTATGACACATATGAATATACTCCAGTATTAAACATATCTGCTATACTCTCCTGTTGACATGCATACATATATTCACATTGTAGATACTCACGTCCACGTACAATCAATATACATATGCACATGTATATATATATATATATATATATATTTATCACATACATACATACATACATACATATTTACACACATACATACATACATATACACATACATATATACATAGATGCACAGATACATACATAAATACATACATACATACGTATACAAATATATTAACTCCCTGTGTCCCTCTGACACGCGTTCGATAAAGTTCGTAAAACATAGTAAATATAATAATTTCAATATTCTTTAATAAAACACAATGTATATTGCGGCCGTCTAGTTTTAAAATATCGCTATCAGATGAAGATATGTTTATGAAAATGGTATAACGCGAATGATTTCGCCGTGGTAAAACTGTTTATACCTTATCATCCTTAACGTCCGACCATTTGAACTCCGCTTGACCACCTCTGGTCCCGCCTCGATCTCTTCGTTCTCCCGCAAACATACCGGCAAGAAATTACACACTACTACAGAATAATAAATGAAATTTGCCAATGTAGACATCCGTGTACGCCACTTATTGGATTGTGGAGTACACGCCTTTCTCCAGCCGATATATTTATATATCATTCACTTTTGAGTTTGGGGGCGGGAGCGGTCGGTCAAACGCCTGGCTCAGCCCGCTCAGGGCCTCTCAAGTCCCAGGCCTCAGGCCTCAGTCAAGGGCTCAAGCCTCAAGGTCTCAGAGTCCAGACTTCAGAGTCAGCGAGTCAACGCTGAGCAGGCTCAGGCGCTCAGCTCGTCTCAGGCCTCAGAGGCTCAGAGGCTCAGCAGCTGGCGACATTCCGATTCTATTTTTAGAAAATCCTTGGCTTTCTTTATATCGCCGCCTTTTGACTTTTCTCCAGTCTCGCTCTCATCTCGCTACTCTCTCTCACTCTCTCGCTCTCTCTCGCTCTCTCTCTGTCGTTCGAAAGGGAGGTGGCCACGGTGATTTGTGAATTTTATTATTATTTACCTTTTTCAAAACACCGTGATGCAACACTCTTTGTCTTTAAACTGATCATAAGGATATATTCACTACATTCTGGACTTCTAGATCACAGTCTAGGTTCCCTTGACGCAACAAACATATTCACCATGGTCCCACGGAGTGTGTTTGCAGTGCTTTTAGCACTAATCCTCACTATGCACAGCGCTAAAGCGTTCTTTCATTTTGAACACGGCTTTGACGAACAAGACGAGGTGAGTGTGTATCCAGTTTTGGCGTTGACGCCAAGATTTGAGACTAGCAGAGCAGACATTTGCATAAATAATGAATCTGTCACGATCTATTTAATTGACATTGCAACTAGCAACTTTTCTATCTATATGTTGCAATTTTTCAATATAACTCGCATTGAGATTTTTTTGGCATTAAAATCATGTTTTTCAGACACAAAATACACAGCACACACGCACACACACACGCACACACACATTTATATATATAAGTAGACACCCCCCGCACACACATACACACACATACACACACACATACATACACACACAAACACACACAAACACACACACACACATATATATATATATGTGTGTATATCACATGACAATANACACGACACACCATATATAGTAGTATATATAATATATAAATATATATATATATANATATTAA